AAAATGACTTAGTTTACTTAATTTGTCAAATATTAATTTGGTATATATATAAAAATAGAATTATAATAGGCCACTCTTTTTGAAAAAAATAGCAAAGAGGATATCAAGGTTTAATTGATTTTGAACCATAGTTACAATGTGAACATAAATTCAATATCACAATAAAATCAGTTTCATTAAAGGTAAAATATTTTGGAGGTTCTGATCACATCTAAGAAATTAATGTGGAAATAATTTTGCATATATTTATTTAGTAAATGATTTTAAAAAAATATTAAGAAAACAAAATGAAATCTTACGAGAAAAAATTCGATTACAATCTAGAAGAATCTTAATAGCTTAGATGGTTTATTATTATATGAGCTTTTACTTACTCGATTCATATCTTATAATTCTCTCTACCATTTTTTCTGCCACACTTTTGTAGAAAAAAATTCTTCTAATTTTTTAAAGTTATTATAAATGTTAGATAATGATATAATATTTTATAGGTGAGATGGAAAAAAAATGCATGTAAACATTAACAAATTTAACAATAAGGATAAAATCTTAATGAATACTATAAAAGAGCAAACAACACAAATCTCATTAGTTTAGAGTTTAATTATGTGTTTTCATTTTAATTTTTGAAGTTATCTTTCGTATTATATTTACTTCGTTAGATACATGTATCTGTTACTCTCAAACACTCAAATATATGTATCTCAGATACATGCTGATACAATTAGGTGTAAGATAAATTTCAGCCAAACATAAGTCGGGATCACTTATCACCAAATATTTAAGAATTATATCATACAAAAAATGATAAATTTAGTCTTTTACACATTTGGGTTTGTTTGAAATTGAAAATTCGTTCGTTTGCTCCTCGAAACCAAATCATGTCATTAATAAGGTCGTAAGGGAAGTTCATGAAAAAAATCGGCCAAAAACAAGTTGGAATCCTGTATCACCGAAAATTTGCACATGAAAATGGTAAAATTTCAGTTCTTGCCGAATTGGGGCTCGTTTGAACTTGAAAAGTGTTTGTTTGCCCCTCAAGACCAACTCACACCACTAATAAAGTCGTAATGGACGTCCATAAAAAATCTTGAGATCACGTATCACCAAAATTTCATGGACTATAGCACATGAAAAATGATAAATTTGGTCTTTCCCACACTGGCTTGTTGAACTTGAAAATTCGTCCATTTTCCTCTGCGGACCAACTCACATCATTAATAACATCGTAATAAACGTCCATGAATTTAAGCCAAAAACAATTGGTATCACGTATTACCAAAAATCAATGGCCTACAACACACGAAAAATGGTAAATTCAATTTTTTCCGCATCGTTGTCCGTTTGAACTTGAAAATGTATATGTTTGCCCCTCGGGACAAATTTACGTCATTAATAAAATCGTAACGATTGTCCATGAAAAATTTTGTCTAAAAACGAGTCGGGATCACGTATCACCAAAAATTCATGGGCTACCGCATAAGAAAAATGATAAATTCGATCTTTCCTGCATATGTGCTCGTTTGAACTTGAAAAAAATGCATCAATTTGTCAATCTAACAACCTAACGCCATCAATAAGGTGGTAACAAACATCCATAAGAAATTTCACCCAAAACAAGTTGGGATCACGTATCACAGAAATCTTTGGAATATAGCAAATGAAAAATGGTAAATTCGATCTTTTCCGCACTGGGGCTCGTTTGAACTTGAAAATTCAATTATTTTCCCCTTGGGACCAACTCAGCCAATCTATAAGGTTTTAATGGATGTCTATGAAAATTTTCGATCAAAAACAAGTTGGGAGCAAGTATTACCCAATGTACTATAGCACACAAAAAATAGTGAATTCGGTGTTTTACGCAAAAAGGGCTTTTTGAACTTGAAAATGCATTAGTTTGCCCCACCGGACAACCTCACACCATTAATAATATTCTAACAGATGTCAATGAAAAATTTTGGCAAAAACAAGTTAGGATCATGTATCACAAATTTTTTTTTATGGAGAATAGCACATGAAAGATGGTAAATTCGGTCTTTCCTGCATTAGAGCTCTTTTGAACTTAAAAATGCATTTGTTTACCGCTCAAGACCAACTCATACCATTAATAAGGTCATAACAGACGTCAATAAAAAATTTTGGTCAAAAACAAGTCAAGATCACTTATCACCAAAACTCTATGGACTATAGCACACGAAAAATGGTAAATTCAGTCTTTCCCGCATTGGGGCTCATTTGGACTTGAAAATGCAGTTGTTTTTCCCTCTAGACCAACTCTTGTCATCAATAAGGTCGTAGACGACGTTCATGCAAAAGTTTGGCTAAAAACAAATCGGGATCACGTATCACCAAAAATCCATGTACTATAACGCACAGAAAATGATAAACTTGATCTTTCCGCTTAGGGACTTGTTTGAACTTGAAAATGTGTACATTTTTTCCTTCTAACCAAGTCACATCATTTATAAGATCGTAACAGATGTCCATGAAAATTTTCGATCAAATGATTCGGGATCACGTATCAAAAAAAAATCAATGGACAAGCACACGTAAAATTATAAATTCTATCTTTTTCGCATTAGGCTCATTTGAACTTGAAAATGCATATGTTTTTCCCGGGGAACAACTCAGGCCATTAATAAGGTCACAACGGAAGTTCACGAGAATTTTTGGCCGAAAACAAGTCGAGATCACGTATGACAAAAAATCTGTGGAGTAGCACACTAAAATGGTAAATTTGGTCTTTCCCGTGTTGAGACTCATTTAAATTTGAAAATGCGTCTGTTCACCCCTGCTAACCAATTTATGCAATTAATTATAAGGTCGTAAGATACATCCACGAAAACTTTCGGTCTAAAAAATGGGGATCATGTATCACCAAAAATTCATGGACATATGAACAATGGTAATTTGGTCTTTCCCGCATTGGGGTTCATTTGAACATGAAAATGCGTCAGTTTTCCCCTCAAGACTAACTCACCTCATTAATAAGGTCGTAAAGGACGTCAATGAAAAAAAATCGACCAAAAAAAAGTTGGGATCACATATAACCAAAAATCCATGGACTATAGCATGCGAAAAATGGTAAACTTGGACTTCTCACATTAGAACTCGTTTCAACTTAAAAATGCGTATGTTTGCCCCTCCGAACCAACTCGCGCCATTGAAAAGGTCTAGATGAACGTTAATGAAAAAATTCGACCAAAAACAAGTCGGATCACATATCACCAAAACTCAATGAACTATAGCACATGATAAATGGTAAATTCTATCAAAAACTTAAGTTTTTCAATAAGTTTCACATCTTTCTAAGTAACTTATTGAGGGTATAAGAGATAAAAAAAAATTGTCATTTCTTGATATGTAGGAATGAACAAGTAATTAGGAACAACTAACAAAGAAACAACGAACAAGTAATTAGGAAAAAAGGAGCACTATGTATTATAAATTTATACCAATTTATAGTCAATGATGAGTTTGTACAATTTACTCTATAAATCTAATTTTCAGTGATCTTATGGCAGTTTAAGTTGGATATGTGTGTATATATATACAAACATATGACATGCATAATTATATATAGTGACATATATATTTCTAAAACCAAAGCTAAATAATTTAATGTCCAAAAAATAAATGCATTAGTATTGTCCACAGTGTGAATATGCAAAAATAATTTGTGAGAGATATTAAATGAATCATTTTGGAAGTGGTCTCTTAATTATATTCTAGAAAAATGTTTCATTTTTAATTACTCTCAACTTGGTGTTTTTAAGCATTTCTTCTAAGTTGATTATATACATTCATCCAAAATCACAAATTTCTCTTTGACTTTCCACATTCTTACATGCATTATCACTCTCTTAATTTTACCTATAAAATCATACTAATCACAATCTAATTTTCTTCATCAACTTTCATAAACTCTATATAGTCATGAAGATTAATACTAACAAAATCTCTTAATTGGATATGATCTTGTAGCCAACAAAATCTCATTTCAGCCTATAGATTGTACAAAATACTAGGCTTGTTTTGTTGATTTATTGTCAGTAAATAAATATAAATGTTGTTAGTTCAATACTTAGTAATTGAGATGTTTTGATTTTGTGTTTTCTTAAGCTAAAATACCCTTCAACAATACTTATCTATGTGACCTTGGTAATTACTTAGAGATATGTAATATTAGAAATCATACTAGATTTTGGTGCATTAAGCTATGTGCAGATATGTGTATCTCGAGATACATGTTTCTCAACAAAAAGAAGATGAATAAACATGAAATTTAAAGAATACTAATAAATAAATCAAAAAGAATTCTTATAGTTACTTGGTATTGAAAATTTTACACTGATATAGACTAACCTAATGTAGAATGCAAGATGATCACGAACTAATTAAATGAAAGTAAGGGAATATAAATCATGTTGTGCGAATGTCTTTGATAGACTCATCATTACCCCCACTTATCTTACAATTAAAATTCAAGGTCATTAGACTCTTCGTTATCCACATTTAATTTGTACATGAATATATGATTGCATTAAGAACTTGTTTGAACCATAAATTTAAATATATAACTATTTCTTAATATTTAATTAATTAAATGGATTTTAATATTTAGTTTATTTCAGGGGTAAGATAAGGGTAAAATGATAATTCAACTTTGATATTAGGAGCTTTTCACTTATTATTATTATTATTATTATTATTATTATTATTATTATGGAATGTAAATATAAGGATTATGGAATGTAAATATAAGGAGTATATATGACATGGTCTAATCAAATCTAATATATTTATGCATTTTATGGAAAGTGAAAGACAACTTTACAAAATGTCCCACTTTATACTTAGTATTTGATAATTAATGGTAACAAAATCTCAATTTCTCCCCAATTGTTATATTTTGTTTAATTAATAAGACTTGGACATTACTATTTGCTACCTATAAAATGGTACTAAAAACATTGTCTCCTCTTCATCATTTTACAACCATGGAGATCAATACTAAATCTTTTACTCTTATGTTGGCTCTTTTATCCTTCTTTCATCTTTCTATAGTTTCTGGTCGTAAAAGTATAAATGGCTTCACTCTAGATCTTATACATCGCGATTCTCCTCAATCACCTTATCATGATCCATCAAAAACACCATTTGAACGCCTTCAAAAGGCCTTCCATCGATCATTCTCCCGTGCTTCCTTTTTGGGGAGGAAAAGTGTTGATTCAATCGAATCGACCCTTACACCAAACAAAGGTGAATTCCTCATGAAAATAGCCATTGGTACTCCCCCAATAGACACTTTTGTCAATGCTGACACTGGTAGTGACTTGACATGGACACAATGTGAGCCTTGTTACAATTGTTTCAAACAATTGACACCTATTTTCAATCCCAAGAATAGCTCATCTTATAAAACTATTAATTGTCACAATAAACTTTGTCAAGGGTTACTATGTGACAATAATACATGTAATTATGAAGTGCGTTATGGTGATCGATCCCACACTATGGGTGATCTTTCTATTGAAACTTTCACATTTGCTTCTACTTCTACTCAAAATGTTTCAATTCCTAACATTGTGTTTGGTTGTGGACATAACAATGGTGGCACATTTAGCAATGCCACTTCTGGTATCTTTGGCTTAGGTGGTGGCAATGTATCAATTGTCAACCAAATGCATAATGAAATCAAAGGAAAATTTTCTTATTGTTTGATCCCATTGGAATTATTGTTAGATAGTTCCAATGCAACTAGTCACATCAACTTTGGTGACAATGCTGTCGTGTCTGGTCCTGACGTCATTTCAACTCCCGTCTATAAAAAGGAATCACCTACATTCTACTATCTAAATTTGAAAGGTGTCAGCATTGGAAACAAGACGTTGGGATTCATATCTTCTCCGAGTTCTCGTCCTGAATATGATCGAGGCAACATTATAATTGATTCTGGCACAATGTTGACTTATGTGCCTGATGAATTTTACTCGAATTTGGAATCGTTGTTGATCCGTTCGATCAATGCTACTAGGAAGCATGGTACTTATATGGGACTTGATTTGTGTTATGAGTCTAGTGAGAATGGTACTATTGATGTTCCAAAGATTGTTGCACATTTCACAAATGCAGATTTAGAGTTGTCAACTTCAAACATTTTTTCACAAGTGGAGGAAGGTATAGTTTGTTTGACAATAGTGCCAGGAGGATACCCAATTTCTATACTTGGAAATTTGGCACAAGCCAATTTTCTAATTGGATATGATCTTAAGGCCAACAAAGTGTCCTTTAGGCCTACAGATTGCACTAAGTACTAATGTTTTTTTTTAAAGTAGTTATTCAAATTTTATTGATCAATTCTTGATTTCTTATATATACTTGCATTTGATGCAATAGAGATTGTATTTTTATTGTGTATTCAATGAAGGAAAATGAAATCAAGAAGTAACCTTTACAAAATCTCAAGATTATAATCTGAATTTCTTATTCCACTTTTTATCTTTGTCATTATCCAAAATCACAAGTCGTGATGGCACCTATGTTTCCAACCGATAGGTAAGCCAACCTAATACTTTTACCAATTCAATTCAATATTTAAAGTAGAAGGGTAAGTGAAAACATAATATCCAATCAGTACGTCATTTTCAAGTATGAAATGCGGAAATCTAAATTACAACCCCCAAAATTTAGTGTCATAAGTACAAGAGCTTCTACAATAGGATACAAGTCCAACTAATATGAAAATCTATACATAAGGTGTGGGGCGCAAAATATCCCAAGCAGTGCACTACAACTCCAAGATAATCCAAACTCATATTCATAGCTCCAAGAACGTGCCCGAATTTGAAATCCAATCAACACCACAAAAGAGTGCAACAAGTGTAGTATGAGTATGAAATCACGTGTAATCATACTACAACAAAAATGATCATTATCGGCAATTAATTCTTAATTGCCACTAAATATGTATTTTTAGCGGCAATTGACACTCTTTGTACATGTCCCTAAAGCCTTTAGCGACATTGATTCTAATGACACTTAACTAATGCCGGTAAAGACTTTACCACTCTTTGTTTATATCAATATTTAATGTCGCTAAAGTTGTTTTTGTCGTAGTGCCAGTATATCTCATAAACCGACAACGAAGAAGTAGTGACAAGAGTATATAAGAAAATAATCCCTTAATTTTTCAAGTTCATATCATATCTATCAACCAAGATTTCATCAATACAGATAATCAAATGTCTTGTATTTTTCAAACACCAATAGAACATATAATCAAGCCAGAATGAACGATGTAATGAGATGCAATACAATTCGACACTATGAAATGATATGTCTGAAATATTCAATACTCTCTCAACCGTATATACATGATACTCCTCGGAAATACATCGAGAGTTCATAACTCATAGGGGACTCGCGAGGTCCATATACTGACGCAGATGATCTCCACGTGTCTGTGTGGATGATCTCAACGCATTTATCATAAAATTAAATAATCCCCAGCACGGAGGATCTTCACGTGCTCAACTTATAATCATAACCAATCACTCGCATGAACGATCTTCATGAATCCAAATTATAATAATCATAACTAGATCTCAACAAGGACGATCTCCACGTGTTAGACTTTTACTCATACTCAATCTCATATCAATGCTTGTGCACAATATGATATCAATCAAAGGAGATGATACAACATCTCAATATATCAAATGTCGCTACGACATATAATCATCTCAATCATCACAATTATACGGGTTAAATAAAGGAACAAAACCACACACAAGAAATCAAGTTACTAAATACTTTAGTAATGTTCATATGCTTTGACATTCTCAAATTACAATATATGATATTATAGTAATAGATTATCCCTTTTATAACATTTGCGCTCATACCAATGTCCGTCACACCATTGATATGAGACCCCCATATTTCGCCCTTACGCATTGTCTATTCCATTTTAATCTTTAATTAGAAAACATTCCTCAACGTAGTCTATAAAGTCTTAAATTGAAAGTCAACTTTACAAAATGTCCCACTTCATACTCTAGTATTTGATAATTAATGGTGACAAAATCTCACTTCCTCCCCTATTACATTTTTTCTAATTAATTAGACTTGGACATACAATTTGCTACCTATAATTAATGATAAGAAAATCTCACTTTCTCCCCTATTAAATTTTTATTAATTAATTAGACTTGGACATACAATTTTGCTACCTATAAAATGGTACTTAACATTGTCTCCTCTTCATCATTTTTCAACCATGGAAATTAATACTAAATCTTTCACTTTTATGTTGGTTCTTTTATCGTTCTTTCATCTTTCTTTAGTTTCTGATAGTAAAGATGTAAATGGCTTCACTCTAGATTTTATACATCGCGATTCTCCTCTTTCACCACATAACGATCCATCAAACACTCCATTTGAACGTGTTCAAAAGGCCTTCCATCGGTCATTCTCTCGGGCTTCCTTTTTTCGAGGGAAAGGTGTTCAATCGACTCTTACACCAAACGAAGGTGAATTCCTCATGAAAATATCCATTGGTACAACCCCAATAGACACTTTTGTCATTGCTGACACTGCTAGTGACTTGACATGGACACAATGTGAGCCTTGTCTTAATTGTTTCAAACAATTGACACCTATTTTCAATCCAAAGAATAGCTCATCTTATAAAACTATTAATTGTCACAATAAACTTTGTCAAAAGTCAAGATGTAACAATAATACATGTAATTATGTAGTGATTTATGGTGACCTATCTCATACTATTGGTGATCTTTCTATTGAAACTTTCACATTTTCTTCTACTTCTAGTCAAAATATTTCAATTCCTAATATTGTGTTTGGTTGTGGACATGACAATGGTGGCACATTTCCCAATGTCACTTCTGGTATCATTGGCTTAGGTGGTGGCCATGCCTCAATTGTCAACCAAATGCCTCAACAAATCAAAGGGAAATTCTCTTATTGTTTGATCCCATTGGAATTATTGTTAGATAGTTCCAATGCAACTAGTCACATACGCTGTCGTGTCTGGTCCTGACGTCATTTCAACTCCCATCTATAAAAAGGAAACACCTACATTCTACTATCTAAATTTGAAAGGTGTCAGCATTGGAAACAAGACATTAGAATTCAAATCTTCTCCGACTTCTCAACCTGAATATGATCGAGGAAACATTGTAATTGATTCTGGCACAACGTTAACTTGTGTGCCTGATGAATTTTACTCGAATTTGGAATCGTTGTTGATGCTTTCGATCAATGCTACCAGGAAGGATGATCCCTTTAGGAGACTTGATTTGTGTTATGAGTCTAATGAGAATGGTACTATTGATGTTCCAAAGATTGTTGCACATTTTACAAATGCAGATTTAGAGTTGTCAACTTCAAACATTTTTACGAAAGTGGTGGAAGGCATTGTTTGTTTGACAATAGTGCCAGGAGGAACAAATCAAATTTCTATAATTGGATATGATCTTAAGGCCAACAAATTGTCCTTTAAGCCTACAGATTGCACTAAGCACTAATGTGTTTTTAGTAGTTAATTAAATTTTATTGATCAATTCTTGATTTCTTAGATTTTATTGATCAATAGAGATTAATATTTTTATTGTGTATTCAATGAAGGAAAATGAAAAATCAAGAAGTGACCTTTACAAAATCTCAAAATTATAATCTGAATTACTTATTCCACCTTCTATATGAAATACTATCTCCATCTACTTTTACTTATCCATATTTGATCCGTTATTTTCAAGATTATATTTCTATGATGTCTCTCCGTCTTATTCCACCATACCCCTACCTTTGTAAGGATAGTGGTCAATGAAGTCAGTTAAAAACTATGACGTCTCAGAGTTCAATTCCTGCTGAGACAAAAAATAATAGGTGAAGAGATTTCCTCCCACCTATCCTAGCTTTGGTTGACAAAGTGACGTGATACTTGTCGCTTGTGGGAGGTAGAGATATTCCGTGAAATTAGTTTCGAAGCATATATCTTTGTTTGCTCAAAGCAGATATGAAACAAAGTATTCAGTTAGCTTCGAAGATTAGTCAAATCGACACTCTATAAATGAAAATTGTGACATAAATAGAGGCAATTAGATTATAACAAGATACATAATATTAACCTCAAACAAAATGATACATAATAGTTTCTCTATGGGGAAAACAAAACACACAATTTTATGCAGAGTTGGCTTTCCCTTATTGTGGTACATATTTGATACACTTCTTCAATTCCAATTTTTTTCTTTTTCTCCCTCAACACAAAATTTGCAAGTCTTGTGTGTATTGATACAAACTTCTCCATCAATCATCTATGTTATCCGTATCAAACGGAAGAGCATTCTATTCAAAATTTCTGTTCTTGCAAGTTTTGTTACATGGGTAAGGACAATCGATCTCTTGGAATCGTTTTCTTTCATAATACCAATCTCCGACTGCTTTGGCAATCGTCTGTAAGAACACAAATTATTTGGAAGTGTCAATAACGGAATGACATAATTTTGTATACGATAAACAACAAGAACAACATAACCAGTATGTTATATTCTCACAAGTGGAGTCTGAAAAGGGTGGAATGTATGCAGACCTTACCCCAACCTTTACGGGGTAGAGAGGCTTGTGGTTGTGTATAATGAATGTAAATTTGAAATAGTTGAGTTCATGATTGCGTACCGTGCCAGATAATACTGGTGAGTCGTCCCTTAGCCATGTCTCTTGTGTTCCGGTTTGACAATGTGCATAACAAGAATTGATGTAATACCCTCGCGTTGAGGAAGGGCCGAGTGAGTTCAATGCTTTCAAGAACTCTGACCTAAAAGCTGAGAAAATTACACCATGTATTAGATACAGTGTAAAAAACACCTTCTAAATGTAAATATTACCATATGATTTAGCGTCTTCAAGCTTACTATAACTAGTTATTTTTTAGTTTAAAAGTGTTAGCCCACAAAGAAAAGGACAGGCTGATTCGATGTTGTTGTTTACTATAATCTTGTCGAGGTTGTTTTCCTTTACCAATATTGAAGCGTGTAATCATCTCATCCAAAAGTCTGAGAGCTAGATATGGTCAAACACTTCAATATAGTATCAGCACAAGAAGTTGTGGGATCGGATCTCGTTGCACCCATTATTAAAATGAATTCTCACTTGCATGTTAAATAATAAAAGTATGTTTTCTCCACTAATAACTTCATTTTTTAGATGAAATGATCATACACTTCAATAACCAACATATACGTATCTATAGATTAACGATGTACTCCGAGTGAATGAAGGAACAACACAGGGCTCAAGAGTCTTAACCTTGCATAGTTTGGAGTTGAGCGGACGAGCATTTCAATATATCAAGCTTGCAGTTGCGCCAAGTTCCATGAGGATCAGCAACACCAGGAGCCAAAATGTTCTTTATCTGAAAATTTTAAGAACAAAGTATAACCAAAAATCAACGATTTTAAAGGGCCAGAACGTCTTCATATATAGTGTATCCATATATAAAATAACTTCCGAGATAACAAAGACGAAATTCTAATGCAGCGGAAAGTCAGACATGAACTGACCTGCCAGGAATCATACGCTGCATTTACTAGGAAAAGTGGTGTCTGGATTTGTTGCGCAACGTTTTGTGGGAAAAAACACTGCAACATAGCGGTGTTTTAGCATTAAGACGATGCATCAAATAAAGGGAAGATATATTTCGTGAAAGGAACTTCTCTTACCAATCCCGGTTTCAGCCTTGAGGTACACGATTGAGGCAAATTCTTCGCAGAACCCTGAATCCAAGATAATGTAACACACTTAGTACGAGTAAAATCGAACCTATAGAACTTCCATAGTGACTTAACACGAAATTTTATAGAGTTCATTTTAGGTCCGAACATCAATTTTAGTATGAAAGAACATTACAACCAACAGATTACGTGATAAGAGAATTACTCTCACAGAGTTTTGAGGACGGAAGAAAGATTTTTGAAACTAATGGACTAAAAAAACAAGTCATTTGTGACTATAAATCATTTCAGTGAAGGTAAAACGAGAAGTCTAAAGTTTAACTTGTTACTAAATATTGAAAATATGTCATTCTTTTCGAGACTAACAAAAAAGGGAAAGACTGTCGGGGGAGTATATAGGTTAACGAAGCATACATGTGTGTTAACAACTTCACTGTAGAACTTTTCAATATGAGAGGTACCAGAAATAGTTTGCCTGCAACAAGAGAATCAAAAACATAATACTAAGTAGCAGCTCGAAGATCTAAATTTCTCGCGAATTGTGAGAGTTGGCCACGATTAAAATAACAAACACGAACACTTACGTGTTGATAAAGAAACCAGCATCTGAGAGACATTTTACTTTAGCACCCGATGGAAGGAGACCTTTAAATCTGTCACAATGTAGAATTGCAGCCAAACTACCAGCTGAACATCCCGCAAGAATAGCCTACGATTAGAAAAAAAACGATGTGTCACAACGAGCATATATATAATCGTCTGCAATAATATGTAACCAATTGATGCATCAATCGTACATTCTGAGCGTTCTTCATTCCTTTAGCCAAGAAATCATCCATAACAGCTGAAAAAATCCTGGCTCCTCTGTAGAATACTTTTGTTCTCTGTCACGATTCAACATGTCCATTAACAATCAATTATATAACGATACTAACACCACTCGTTGTTTATATCAAATCAATAATTGTATAGTGTTTTAACATTAGAATTACCGGATCGGCTGCTGCAACATCACCAGTAAAGGATGATCCATCACAATATCTAATTCTAATTCTGTTCCAATTGTAAAAGTCTACAATTTCCAAAACACAATCAATCAGAATAATGTTTGAAAGGCGTTAAAACGATGTATAATATGAACAAGGGTGAAAAGCTCTACCTGGATTAAACTTAGCCTTGTTGCTCAAAATTCCTGAGAAAGACACTGTCTTTACCATTAGTTTAGATGATCCCAATCGTGTTTTTGTACGTTCAAGACAAGTTGTGGCATTATTGCACCATGCTCCTCCCTGAAGTCATGGGATGAATCCAAATGCAAATTCATGTACGCGGACCAAATAATTGTTCATAAATAATCACTAGCAAAAGTTCAATCTAGTTTTTGATAACGGGGTATACACGACAGCTTATGCATATCTCGACTATCTTAGTTCAAGAATTTGAAGGGGAAAGGCTAACGATTGGACTGAAATAAGACTAAGAGCCTGTTTGGCTCAGCTTAAAAGCTGGTCAAACTGACTTAAAAGCTGGTTTTTGATTTATTTAGCTGTTTGGCAATACTCAAAACAGCTTATTTTAAGTTAAAAAAACTTATTTTAAGCCAAAAGTTAAAAGCTGGGGTAGGGGTGCTTTTTTTTTTAGCTTATAAGTTGTTTTAAGTTGACCACATTTTTATCTTTTTGTGCTTAATATTTTTATACAATCTCTAAATTACTCATATAACCCTAACATTTCTTTCTCCCATTTTTCCCTTTTCACGTTTGAAATAACAACTTCAGCACTTTTATCCAAACGCATAACTGCTTATTTTAAAAATAAGTTTCAGCACTTTTAAAAGTACTTTTTTAAAGCTGCTTTTATTAAGCCCATCCAAACGGGCCCTAAGAACCACGGAGATGATTGGAACAATACAGAGAAGATTAACATGGCCCCTAACAAAGATGATACGAACAAATCGAGAAATGATCCAATGAGACAAACCTCAAGTTGGATAAACCAATTGTTAACTCCAGCTCCAAATCCTTTATCAAAATGATATGCTGGTGGACTTCCATCCAAACATACTGCAAAAACACAACATTGACATAAAAAATAAATCAACACATTTTCACATTGTTGAATCTTGTTTTCCATATAAACATACGTAACGTTCGAATCAAAGTCAGGGGTTATACCAAATCCGTGACTTCTACATTGGATCCAGGGGCGGAACTACAGTTCAACTACCAAATTCGAGTTCACTTTACCCATAACCAAGTATACGTGTATAAGTAATACTATCTCTATCCCAATTTATGTGACTTACTTTTTCTTTTTAGTAAGAGTTTGAAAGAATGACGCATTTACATTTCTATATTAAGTAACAATTTAACTATAAAATGTCTATTTTACCCTTAATGAAATGACTTACACCCACACAAATTTCTATTATTCATTTTGGATCACAAGTTTTAAAAAAATTTAAACTCAGTAACGAATCAAACTGCCTCACATACAATGGGGCAGAGGGAGTATATCTAAAACACACTAAGCTACCCCTTTTCTAGAATCTAGAACTCGTAAACTCAAAATCTTAGCTCCGACTCTAATCGAAAAAAAGGAAATTCTTACCAGCTCCTTTAGCTACTGCACTTTGTAGATAAGTAATCTCAACTGGATGTCCTTCACTAATTAAAACAATTAGCAAAGTAAATATTGCACGTAGCAATAGTTGCATTGTCCCTTTTACCATCCTGCATATATTAATTAAATTTATGTAAACAAAATAATATAAATAACCAAAAAAAAAACCACAAAAATCCTAAAAACTTAAGTGAACTCAAGAAAAGAAAAAACATATCATTTTTAGAAAGATTTAATACTTTTTATATTACAAATTTAGCAAAAAATTCTCTTTTTACACCATTAATGTTACTACTTCTTTTTTTTCCAATTAAAACATATGATACAGAAAATGTAAAGAATAAATCAAACAAACCTATTTCAGAACCAACAAAAGTAAAAATTACTAAAAAAATACAGAATTGAAATATTAGTTCAGTATATGATTAATTACCTGGAATAGCAAAGATTTGAGGAAGAAAAATAAAATCTGAAAATGAATTATTTTTGTTGAAATCTTCAGTATAATAAATACAGCTGGTGAGTATTATTATTTTTGGACAAAATAACGAGGGGTCCCAAAAGCAAATGGTGGATGAGACTAGTGAGAAAGAAGCATATATTTATAGTACTTAAAAAGAAAAAGTTATATACTTCCATCGTAATTTGTTTGTGTGATTTTAATTTGATATGAAATTTTAAAAATTATTTTAAAAAATTAAATTTTATGATTTTAAATTAAAAATATGTTACTAAAATTATTTTAATTTTGTGAAATACGTAGTAAAATTGAAATATTATTAAAAAAAACTGTTTTATTAAAAATTGGATAAATAAATAAAAATGAGGGAGTATTTTTATTTATATATAATGACTTCATGAGTTCTTTTCCCTGTTAATGTAATTTAATGTCATAAATTAATTTTCATGTTGACTTAATTTTGTAACATTTAATGGTTTCTTTATATTTCATGGGTTCAGTATTTATATTTGAAACTGATTTAAATTTAAATTGGCATAAAAAAAATTTATATTGAAAATAAAGCACGGGTTAACAAAGGGCAGAGCGACTCTTTATTTAGGAAGATTCAATTAAAATTTCTAAATAAAGATCGAATAAAATTTTATTATTCTATTACAATCCCATCGTAATATTTAACAGTTACTAAGTTGTACTATTCTTGAAGAATTCTTATGAAAACTTATCCAAAAATATTGTCTGTTAAAGATTTTCAAAAGATATATTTTGAAAGCTTCTTTAAAAACTTCCTTTAGTAAAGTAGTTTTAAATTCAAAACATTTAATATATATTTTTTAAAAAAATATTGAATATGTTATATGATTTTCAAAAAATCTTCCCTAGAAATTCTTTAAATAATTAAACAATGATCAATCTAATATATATCATGCAGATTCATGAAAAATCAATAACTTTTTGTTCAAATCACCAAATTATATACATTAAGACATTACCTGTATATTTATAAGTATTTTATTGCAAAACTATTTATTATTCCACATTAGTGTAAAAAATCATAAATTTTATAATCTTAAATTTATCACTCACCCAAAAAAAAATATATAATCTAACAATATGTTAAACTTTAAGTATAAATAGTATATCAAGAAAAATAAATTCAATTCACAAAAACTCACTAATCCAAAAAAATAAAAATAATAACAAAGACTCCAATCTTAATTAACATGCTTTTTACTCATATTTTTTTTAATGTTGTATTGTAGAATAAGAATCTTTTCAGTTTTCTCTTTATTTTTTTTTTATGAAGAATAAAGTAGGCTTTTTTTAATATGTCAGAATAAAGAAAGAAATTAAATTATTGAAAAGGAAAAAAAAAGGAAGCTGCCGACACATATTCATTTGTTTTAACACATTTTCTTCGAAGGTGGTTTAATTATGTACTTTTTGTTTAAGAAAAAATAAAGTTGTTAATATCGAGGAATTAAGAGCTTTTGGCCAATTATAAATAGAATAAAAGAAAATATTTTTATACATAAAAATAGAGATTTCTTATATAAAAATATTATTAAACTTAAAAAAGGGTTTGTAAGTGGCTTAAAAAATTAGTTTTACTTAATTCATATGTTTTGATTATCATATTATTTTGTTAATGTTATTAATATTTCTATGCTTTTGTTTGTTCTTATTTTAAACTACTTTAAATGTTTGATATATTGATATCGAAATTATTCTTTTTATTTTTAAAAAATGGATAAGATCTATACAAATATTATCATTTTCGGCTTTTACATGTAGAAATACATTAAATATATTGTTATTATTACTTTGATATTCTTTTGCTTTGATATATATTTCTTGAACTAACGTTCCATTAAAAATATAACTTTAATTCTTAAATTTTATCGTAAAAATACATTAAATATATTATTATTATTTTAAAATAAAATAAAAAGGTGGCTAATAAGTGTAGACAAAAACCATGTGCTTGATGGAAGCTTTATCAGCTAACGCGTTCCATTCAATGAATGGACAAAACAGTTGAAGTGAAATTTGAAAATTGAGATTTTTTTTCTTTGTTATATTAAATGTAACTATTTGAAAAAATAATAATAACAATAATAATAATAATAATACGATAAGAAATTATGTTAAACGGACCCTTGAAAATGGAATATTAATAGACGTTTGATAGATCAAGAAAAAATTGAGAGAAATTATTTGAAAACGATTTTGAATTTGATGTGAAATATTAGCTAGTCTTTAGTTATTGATAATTTTATAAATATACTTTTATTTGTTTAAGAGAAAAGACATAAATTGATATTTGAACTTATTTCAAATTTTTAAAAGATATTTTAATGATACAGAGGTTCTATTACCCTACCAAACAATCTTGAATTGATATTATTATATTATTATTTTGTTAAATTAACACGTGTTGTGTAATTATAAGTGTGTGAACACATTTGCTACTTAAAATCTAGGGATGATTGGAAAATGATATAATAATATATGTTTAAAATTGTTTAGTGGGATAATAAAACGCTTACAAAGTTACAATTCAAAACAACTTCAATAGTGACATAGCGAGTGATTTCGAACTTTGTATGAGTGTGGGGCTCTTATAAGTAGTCGAGAAAAGTGTTGAAAACAGTATTAATAAACTTGATCAGAATTTGAGATTGTACTTTAACGTATGTTGCTAGATCAAAGATGTACATAAGTTTAGTTAACTATGTAGCAAATGTTTTTAAGATTATCGATGGTTTAAAAATGTAACTTGTATATTTTCAATACTTCTCTTTAAAAAAAAATCTGTTTTTTTTTAGATTTAAACTCTTGAAAATATTTTTATCTATGAAATTTCGAAATTCAACTTAAAGCTAAATTTCAATAATAACAAGAAATTAATTTTATTTTTTCCACTCTAAACTATTCACAAAAAATTATTATTTTAAAAAGTTACTAATACAATATAGTTTTTTAAATTTCATTTTAGACATTTGTTTTGTCTTTTTTTTTCTTCTCCATTTATCACTTTATCCAAGTAGGACCATAGAGAGAGCAAGAGCCAAAGAAAGTCAATCCATGATTTAAATGGATTTTAAATTCTTGAGGCATGCACGTGAACGACGGTGATTATTTTAAAGCATATAGGAGTATAATATTATTTCGTTCGATACGCGGAATAAGATGAATATCTAAATTAATAATTTAGTAGATGTTTTAATTTATTTACGTTAAATATTTTTTTGTTCTTATTATCTTTTGTGATATTCAATAAAGATAAAAAATATATTTATTTTGAAAATATCTAATTTTTTTGTTTAAAATATTTAATTAATGTGATTCAATTTATCATTGAAAATTAATCAAATTAACTTTCAATAAGCGCAACATAACAAATAATTTCGAACGAAGTGAGTATATCAGTAAAATAATAAACTTAATTGTTAAATAACGAGTTTTGAATACCCCTAACACAACAATGTGTTATAGCCCAATAATTTTAAATGCTTTAATTTGTAAATTTAAATCTCACTTATTTTTTAAAAAAAATCACTTTTTAGGAATTAATTATATTAATATTCTATCAAACTTAGGATTATTTTGTCACTTTCTTTCCGATGAGATTCGAAATAATTTAGTCCGTTATAGCTATTGTTGAATCAAGCTGTCATTCACCAACTGTATATCTTTTCTTTGACTTTGATTTTTGATATTTTAAATTTTGTTATTGATATTTTTTATTCAAATCTAATTAAATTTAATTTTTACTTAATAATGAAATAATATTTATTGCTATATTAGCTTTACTCGTGAAAATTATTGAAACTAGTGATATTAATAAATTCACAATAAATATCCTTACAATTATAGAAATATCTAATTAGG